GACCCCATAGAAAGGGCAACTTTCCTCAGAGACAAACTACTCAAGAGGAAGACCACAGAAGAGGACGTCCCCCGACCCCTGAGACGGGGACTTTCCCCCAAACGAAAAGATCAAATGGAACACGGAAGTCTCGGAAGAGAAAGACAGGAAGGCCACCACAGGGTCCGTCAACACTGCCCCTGGGGGAAACGAGATCTCGGTTGCACTTCTCCAGCTTGCCTGGCCGGCAGTTGGCGGGTACATCACGGATCTTCGTGGAAATGAATACTGACTTGAAAATCAGCCATAATGATGCAGCATAACCTCAACCGCCACCCGCAAGCCGCCCATCCAGCACTTTCACTATTGACATTGACGAGCAGTCTCTGCCCGATGTTGATGAGAACTAAATCATTGGGAATAGCTTCGTCACAATAGCCTTTCTATGACATCAAGATACAACAATGTATAGCTGTTGAACTTAGTATCATTAATTAATGTGAGAAATTGCAACAGATTGCCAGCTATGCTATATTGCCAAGAAGAAGCTGTGGTGAATGTATAGCAATAGATTGCTGCTTTTTGGGGCTTTGATTAAATGAAGAAATATTGATGGATTGAACGCCCACAGCATCAGGCCAAAAAGCAGCATAAATTTGGAAGTGATGGCGGCTCCTATTCCCACCCAATGCAAAGGAAGAAGGGGACGGCGATTACCCGCGGGCTTGTGGTTCTTCGTTACTCGTCTCGTCTTCCGAACTGTCTCCAATATCACCAGTCCGGCCAGCGAACCCACCATGAATTTGCCAAAATAGGGGTCTGCATTGTTCCATCCGTTTTGCTGTTCTTGCTGCTGCATTTGTCGAATCTGTGGCTGACCGACCACTGCTGGATTCGGGCGAAATATTTGCTGTTGAGGAGGTACAGGATATGGCTACCCAGTCGCCATTTGGGGAGAAAGGATCCGTTTCATGTCCTCTAGAACATCGATCATCCCAGCGGGTCCTGCACCGCATTCTTGTGAATTTCTAGTGGAGAGGGTGTCATTTGCGGCCGCTGTTGCTGCTGCTGTTGCTGGGATTGCTGTGACTGGTGCTAGCATCAACCATCTTGGGGATACTGCATCGATGTGTGCTGCTGCATGGAAGGGATAGAACCATTCATGGCACCGGCCATGAATAGCTTCTCGAAAGCGGCGATCCTCTGGTGCATGGCGCCATTTTCATCTAGGAGCCTGTTATTCCTCTTTTCCAAGTCCCGAATGTATTCCGTGGCTTTACTCAAGACCTATTTATCAAGCGTTTAGTAATTTTGATATTCATGCCCTCCTTAATCGTAACGCCACCAAAAAAGTAAACTCTGAGGCTACCTACAGTTGCTTTACTGAGCTTATGGGCTGGTGTAAGACCATGTAATTCTTCACGGTCTTCGATTGTGTCCTCTCCTTTTGCGCTCTTGCACATGATACGCAAACTTGGGACACTGTCTCGCAACGCAGCAAACTTGTCATTGATGTTAGTGCGATAGCGCTTCTCAATCATGTTGTGAGCAGTCTTCTTGACCGACTTATCGCCTTCCTCAAGAAGGTCATCATCGTCGAAGAAGTCAGCCGAAAACTTCCGCTTCCTAGAATGTCTGTGAGAGCCTCCAGAGACCTCAGGCGATGAGCCGACTCCCGTCCTCGCCGACTCAGGGCTGGAGGCGCTCTTGGACGATCCATACAGAAGATGAGGGGGCATTGCGGTGTTTCGCAGCTGTTCCTGCACAGCTGGACCCAACTTGGTCACAGAGTGTAGGCGAGCTTTTGACAATGGGAGGACAGCGACCCGCTTGGTAGCCATTTGACTGGAGAGGTAGGCTGACGTAGGGTCGATGTTGGGCAGACCGAAGCCACCAAAACCGGAAGAATCGGGTAGCTGTTGCTGCTGTTGAGGGTCGAAGGTCGGGGTCGGCCGCGACGGGGACGAGTATTTTGAATGCGCTGAGGGTGGCAGAGCGGTGTTGTTGGCGCTGCTGATGTCGTTCGGGCTGGCTTGCGGCGAGGCATCCAAAGACCAGACGCCAGAATCTAGGGAAGCGCCGGAGGGGTCGCCGTTGGGGAGTATTGGAGGACCTGAGATTGCATCGAGAAGCACGGGGCCACCGACTATGAATCCGAAGCTCGGGTGGTCAACCCCAAGCCCGCTGGTGCCATCCTCGTCGGCCATGTGAGGGGAAGAGGAAGGACACTTTGGAGGGAATGGCGGCTGCAAAGACCGGGTGAAGCTCTCGGGTCGGCTCATGCAGCGACAACTGGCTCGACAGACCGAGCATGGGCAGAATCTGAGACCAGGCGAGAAAGCGTCAGGGTCTAATGAAATGTCACTCAATTGTTGGTAGAGAATCGTGCGGTCGACGAGAGAAGTTTGGAAAGGTTTTAGGCATCAAATTTGTGGCTGGCGGGGAAAGGAGCATTGAACTTTTGCAGGGTACGCTCAAATACTGTGCCTGGTATTAGGTATCTCACAATTTCGTCCAATGGAAAAATAAACAAATTTAGGCATCCATTCCATCTTAGGCATAAAAATAAGCAAGCCTTCAGTATGTCTGCATGACGGGAGATATGGTTGGCGATATGGGCTTGTTCAAGAGTTGCCTGAGCTGAAAGGCGGTTTCAATCCTGAGGTGACGGAGGAGCGGCTCGACAAATCCGCATCTATCTCTCCTGCTTCTACACTGGATCAAATTTCGTCTTCTACTAGAGCTACATCTATCGTTGGAAAGCTGACACAGTAGATTCTTTTTTTGTGGTCGCATGGAAGAGGGTAAACGTAATACCTCCATTCACTGCTTTGACCCCCACTTGCTATGACATTCGGCAGAGATGCGCAGAGTCTGACGGCGACTATGCTATGAGCACCGCGACAAGTGAGTAACGGAGCCAGAATTGTGCTGTTAGGCCTGAAAGCCCAAGGTGGAGAGCTTCGACAGCGCATGCCACACTCGACTAGCTAATGATGGTAGGCATCCTCGAATTACGCTTTTTGAAAAATGAACCTAGAGGCTAGAAGTACCAGTGAAACTCTCAGAGCTTTTTTTACGTGTCAACTTTTTGGCTGCCTCTGCTTCACCTGAGACAACCTAAAAAACAGGCCCTCTGGGTGCATCTTGCTTTCAATTCAAAAGCTTAAAACTTGCGCCGCAGAATCAGGATGATATCTCTGATTTAGGGCATCAGTATTCACTGCCTTCTCTGCAATGACTGGACGAAAATTGTCATCACCATCATCGTCGCCCTTCGTCTCTCATGCCCCTTTACTGAGCTCCCTGGCTGGAATGACGCCTGGGCAAGAAGCGAGCTGCACTTTGACAAGTTTTTTACGCACATGTGCGAAGGCTCTGACTTAATCAGGTCAATATGCGGCTCGGCAATACCTGCGAACTTCCAAGCTATAGCGGTCAAGCATAACGCAGCATATGTAGAAATAAGCTTTAGAAAATATGTAAAGCATATTATTATTAAGCGTATAGCATATTAGCATAGATAAAAGAAATTTATGGGTAATGGACATTCGACTATATAGCTGGTGATCTCTGGAGGAAGATGTAGAATTAATATTATTTCTGCGGGATAGTAAAGGGCCTGTTTTCAACTAAACAATATCTTAAGAATGGCATAGAGAATAAGAGGTATATCCTCTGCTGCCGCCTTAAACGTAGGAGGATGGATGGCACAGGGCTTTATAGCATGCAGCAAGACTACCTAGCAGTCTATGGCGGGGCATGGTCTCAGTTTCGGGCCTTGGCGCTAGGAACCAATAAGCGCAAGGCTCCCACCAGAGCGGCAGCTTTATATTGCACCATCGACCTTTAAACACATTGTAATACTAGCCAAAATTATGTCTGGGTAAGCCGACGACAATAATAAGGAAGATATACAATAGCAGCATCAACGGAAACGCCGGAAGTGAAAATCAACTTAACCATATTCAGCGTGGGATCGAGGAAAGAGCCGTCTTTGGTGGCGGCGAACATGGTCACACTTTATGTTGGCGGAGCGGTTAACAATGTAGGTAATAGTAAATAAGTCACAAGATGGTAAGTAATGCAGAACGTGTTGCAATCTTGACTCTGTGTTAACAACTGGCTATCTACGTCACTTAATAAGCGTTGAGAAATGAACTTATATATCCAGCTGGCTAGACGAGGTCGTCTGTGATCGTGTTGACCAATCACAACTTGAGTCGTGTGTGGTCGTGTCGACTTGACGCGACTTTAATCCCCTTGATTGGCTTATTATAGTTCTACCCCGAAGGCCTATTGGTGTAACTATAAGAGCTGGGCTGCGGTAGTAAAAAGATAATTAGATATTTTTTTTTTTTTTTTTTTTTTTTTTTTTTTTTTTTTTTTCATTATGTTAGATAACTATATAACACAAAAAGGAATAACCCATTTGAGGAGGGAACACCTTATGGGTCGTTTGCTATTAATAGCTCTGCTATAGGGCCTTGAGCGCATTGTGTCTTCACAAACCGAAGCTTGCTTTATTGGTCTGTTTTGGGGGGCTGGCAGGATTCGAACCTACGAACTTTCTCTCTAGGCCGCCTGCGCCTGACCACTGCGCCACACAGCCCTCATATTGCCTCGCCGGCTGCGAAATTATAAAGTTAGATAAGTTTTACTCTTAGTGCCCTTAGATTGCCAAACCATATCTGACCACCGACAGAGGTGCGGGGTAGCAGCCTGGTGAACCGTCTGCGTAGAGTCATCTCAGGCTGGATTATTCTCATACATACTACTACAATCAAGAGCTCACTCACAGCTAACGAAATTCCGAACCTCTAAATTTAAACATGTTACCTCCTGCACTTGTCACCATATACAAACTATATAAACAAGACACAGATTATGTAGCGACATGGCTAGCACAGACAGCTAAGGCACATGGCTATCCTAACGCATTATCAGAGATTGTCGATATGTCGAAGGCTAGGTCAAGGCGTCTGAAAGGAAAGGCTAGGAAAGAGGCGAAAAATAAAGGCACTAACCAGTCTCTGGAAACACAGAAGACGCAAACATACATCTTGGCCGTCAAGGATTTTATTCCACTGGCAGTTTTCATCGCAAGTCAAGCGGATTCCGTGATACAAGTCCCTGATCTTGTTATAAGCATTCTTAATCGGATCATAGAAGCGAGAACTTATCATGGTCAGCAATTGAACGATTATGGAGGTCAAGTTGGTGCCCAAGAAGATGAAAAACATCAACACTTCATCAAAGTTTTAGAAAAGGTGCGAGATACGTTGAAGCCTTGTACACGCTCACCTCCACAAACATCTGCGGCTGCAGAGGCCCCAGGAGAGGAGCCGAATGGAGTAGAGTTAGACTTCGATGCTCTTGCAGTAAGCGGGACTTCTCCAAGTCTTTCAGATGCTCTCGGGATTCAAAGCCGCCAAATTCTGGCAGGTGACGGGGCAGTGTACGAGGCAGAACCACAGGCATCCTTCGAAAACGCTATTGTTGCTTATACAATGATGATGAACGATATACAAGACATTAGATCACGCATCCGATGGATATGGGAAAACTACAAGAAAGGCCTATTCACCCTTTCTGGAGCGGCTGTGGCTACCGATACTGCCATCGACCTTGCACGCAGCGCCACAGAGGAAGTTACCCCACTGTTCAAAGATCATAATGGAATTGGAGGGATGATTCACAGCTTCTTTCACTACCGCTGCCACCTTAAAGGATACGAGGAAAATGAGATATATCTATCGGAAGAGGATAATTTCAACTACGATCTATACGATATAGCCGACGAGGTTTATATGAACGTCTTTAGGATTTTGAATAGTTTTGCTGGAACTCTTGTTCAATCAGATGTCCCCATCTACAATGATGGAACGTTCGGTAACTACGACCCAGCTAGCAACAGGGATCTTAAATCTGGATGGCAGAAATTCACCGAAGATAAAATTCTATTACTGGAATTCTTCACCGAGCTCATCACAGTCGCTCGGCTCATCCCCGACTACCCAGTGAAGGATGGTTTTCTGTGTGGCATGGTTGAACTGAACAAGACAGGGGCGTTGCCTTTCTATCTCATCTTTGCCGCTCAGGTCTTCTTAGATATCCATCATATCCTTCGCGATCAAGCGACTCTCGCTTCTGAGCAGGTACTGCGTCAGGTCGCAAGAATGCACAGCGAGCTTAAAGAACACCTGAATTTCCATACAAATCTTAATATTGGTGGATGGCCCGCATCTAACGATATAATCATTCGGGAGCTGCAGAGAAATATGAAGTGGATTAATGGCGATCCTGTTTATAAAGCGTAAATCAAACTCCTTCAGCAGATTAGACGTCCTATTTCGTTATGCACGAAGCAACATCATATCCTCAGATGCTCACCTGTGCTTTCAGGTCTGATACTCTTTCACTTCCCAGTTCGATTTCACAATGTGGGGATCTCTGTTACAGATGCCTGGGGGTCTACTATCTACACCGCTCACCTATACAACGCACTGCGCAATGAGGAACTTCTACAGAGACGATGGAATGGCATGGACGTGGCCCAGATTCTGTTACGTGAGGAAAGCTTCTACGTAGGAGGCTGGCCACAGAACAAAGAAGGGTACTTACGAGAATTCTGTCTCCGGCTGGGAATGGACGTAGCTTCATTCAAGAAGCCAATTCAAGGCCAACGGAGATCCAATGGCTTTGGATCAGGTGCGGAGGGTCCAAAGATAAAAGATCGCATTCCGGTATCT